TAGCTTTTCTGTTACTGATCTGGGATGTTCGAATCTGAGACTATCTTTCTAACTTTACAAAAATTCCACAGAGCAATCTATAATCTCCCACTGTCCGTCCCTTCGAGGCAAACAAATTAATTGGTGCTTTAGCGTGTGCATAGCATGACAACCCTGCTGCTGGTTAAAAACAACAACGTATTTGGTCTTATAAACAGAAATGATGCATGTGTTTATTTGCATACAGAGCGGGGAAGTGAGATCTGATCATAAGATCTCACACAGGATGCAAGACCTAGAGCTGAGGCAGACTTCGAACAGTCCATTTGTGGTCAGATCACCAAAGGTGCATGCTGATAGCAGGTCTGAACAGAATGATACTCATGTTATATGGATCATTATCTGGGTGTGTTATCTGTTCTGATAACCATGCTACATTTTCTAACCCAGGCACATGCTGTGATATAATCCCCGTATCTGGGGAGGTGACGCCTTTGTACATGTTACACAAACAACCATCTGCTGGGTCTGAGGTCAGCACTAACGGATTGTACAAGTTTAAGAAGCCCAATACCAAGCAGCTTGTGTGTCATGCTCTAAAACCTCCATTAGTCCCACCCAGAATGTGGCAAATGAACTATATTTAGCACAGCCCACATTGTTTGAGCAGAACAGTTCCACTTTGACATTAAAAACATGGTGGACGTTAGTTTGATCTCACCAGAGATTCTGCACATTCACTGCATTTGTCTTTCAGAAATGCAGTACATGAACTTTTAATGCAGAGGAGCTCAAATAACAGGGCCCCACTGGCATGACAGTCGTTACACAACCAAAAAAACAACCAGACAGACATTGTGCCAGGAGAAAGCACAGTTGCTCCAGTTCCACTGCCCCTGGGTAGAGCAAAGTGGCTCAACTGTACTGCAGTCTACTGGGACATGGAAGCAGCCACTGAATGCTTGCATCACTGAATAAAGACCCACAGCGAAAGAGAGAAGATGTTGACCCTTGCTAAATTCTGATCTACTTATACAACCGTAATGTGTCAGTGTCACTTTTAAAACACAGTTAGGGGTTAAGAGAGGGCCGGTCAGGGGAGCTATCTTTGGTTTGATATACAAATTGGATAAAAGAAGTAAAGCCATTATGCAACATCAGCTGAGCGCCTAATGCTGTTATCAGTACGGTCACACACAACAATAAAGTACACATTTACAGCTGTGACTGTGCCCTTCAGTAACACAAAAACAGATAACACATTTCACACACAGGGCAAACACATGCTCCATAAACCTTTTCAAAATAACTTTACAGTCAACCGTCTCATTGGCACACATGGCATACCGAAAGGTGAAATATTCCCATCACATTCAATGTATAGTAAGGCTGTTAAAAGCATCAATACCTAAATACTTTTTCAATACCACGTTTAAAAATAGTATGATCACCATTATTAAGAAATCTAATAATACTGAAAGTACTGAACCTGACGCTGGGAAGAAAAAGGAACAAAATCAACAGGTCCTCCACCTGTGGCTGTTACAGCGTTGCCACAACATGACTGGAAGCGTGTGTTCAGAGACTTTTTCTGTGCCAGCACTGTGTGCAGGTTGTTTTGTGTTGCTAGTACTTTATTTTATTTTTGCCCTGGTATCAAAACAGGTATTGTGTACCATTTTATTTTTTTTTAATACTAGTATTGTCTTGAAGTTTAAATTGTTGGTATTGTAACAACATAAACGCATGCATTAATGCATGACATACAGACCATCACTAACCAAAGCAACATGTGGTACACTATACACAAATGTTGTCAAGATAATTATTTAACCTTTAATGGAAATTTACAGAGAGACTTGGCTGAGCAGATGGTTAGAAAATAAAAGCGTGCATGCTTTTAAATCGATGTGACCTGCTCAAAAATCACCTAGCCATTTGTTTACATGCTAATGGGTTTACAGCTCCTAGATGGTGGGCCAACAGGTGACAAGTAGGTCACACTGTGATGAAGGCCTTCTCTTTGTAGCCCTGGGCACTGAAACACCAAAGGCGCTTTAATTTACTTTTACTCACCTGTGGTAATGACCAGCAAATGCTATCCTTGGAAAACTAGAGAAAGTGGGACGTTTGATCTCTTTGGCATCAAAATGTTGCATGATGACTTTACATTCATCATGCTGTCATAACTGACTTGTTTATTGATTAAAATCTGCTTACCTTTCTTTGGCAGACCTCTGCCCTTGCCCAGTCGGGACTTTCTGTCCAGCAGCTTGCTCTTGGGGCTGGTGGGTGCCACCGAGGTCCCCCTGACCACATCCCCGTTATCGCTGAGAGAATCTCCCCTGCCGGAGTCCCTGGAGGAGTTCTTTCTCAGCCTCCGCTTGGCCTTCGCCTTGAGACGGGCTTCATGGATGCTGTTGCTAGACGAAGTCAGCCAGTTGCCATTGATCTCATTTTTAATGTTTTTATTGACAACGGATCCTGCGTTGTCTTCCTCTCCAGATACAAAGGAGTCACTCAGGTCGTCTGCCTCTGTGGGAATTGAAGGGGAAAATGGAGGAGAGTTAATGCTGGCAAACAATGAGTAAGTAGTTTTTAAGTGCACAGCAGATTCATGCATTTGTCCCTGTTGTGTACATGTCAGCAGGGGCCATGTGCAAATACAATAGACTGTGGAAAGGGTGCTGTATGTCAGACTGCATTAATAGTCAATATCTATCTGCAGTCACCCACAAAATGTAGGATGTGCAGCAGAATGACATCAGTGCCACATTCAGCATCACTAAACCTGTAGGCAGTGCAAGAAAAAAAAGCAACCAACCACTTCCGCATGAAAAAGTCCCAGTGCCCCACATCACACACAGGAGGGGATGAGACATTTAAATCGATGTCACACTTACCAACAGGGTTTGCATTCAGCCAGGCCTCGCAGTCAGTTGCCATGTTTTACAGTAGAAAAAAGATGTTGCAGCAGAGCAGCGTGCAAATATATGTCAAATGATACCTGCGATGTTAAAGAGGAAACAGATTTAATATGCAGACAATAGCTAATAACATGCCCAGACATGCTGCAAGGCAATAGCCTCCCCTCCTCCCTGTTCATTCAAAGTCACTGTGTTGATAAACAATGGCTAGCGCTGCGTTAGCTTGTCACAATAAAGAGCTGCGTCAACGCACCTAACTCCACTGTATCTAACTGCACGTGTAAAACAGTAACTGCTCATATACAGTACGTTAATATGCAGTTTAGTTTATTTAGCCGCTCATATTTATCACTGACTCGACAGTTAACGTTATCTGTTGTTACAGCTCATAAGATAATATCTAACTGTCCGCTAGCTCGATGTACATCTGTTAGCTACATCGATAAAACCGTTAAATCCTCCATTACAGTGACATATAAACATGCACGTCTATCTCTTTCGCCTTTTCGATTAAAGAACTCGCAATAAGTAAATTCACTGACCGTCTGTTGCGTCCAAGCTCCAAACTGTGACACTAACCCTGTTGTTTTTGTATTATCTACCCAGCAACCCAAACACGTAGGTCCGTGTTTTCCTCGTCTGATTGGCTGGAGGCGTGGGGGTTTTTAAATCAAAGGACCAATCAGAACACACCACGGGATTTTCCTTCTCGCATGTTCCGTGTGTTGATGTGGTTGATAGAGTGCTGCCCCCTATCGGTGGTGCTGCGGAACAGCGCTCTCTATTTTGGGACATCATTGCATCCTCTACAATTAATGATGATGGCGATGATGATATTGATGATAATGATTGATTGACTGTCTAAATGATCATGATCTGTTCTTCTAGCCAAAGCTTGTTAATCATCCTGAATAATTCACTTATGAATAATGTGTAAACCTGCAGAGTCAGAGGCAGACTGAAAGTGTAGCCTACATTTTAATAAAATGATTAAAATATATAACAGGATCAACATTTAATATCTAAGCAAGAATATCCAAACTGAGTTTTACACATCTATTCAGACCAACACATTTAGTTTTAGCACACAGATGTTTTTTGCCTCAACACTTGGGGGAGCTCTTTTATAACACTCCCACTCAAGTCCCATCATATACTGGTACAGAAAATGGATAGGTGGTGTACTGTAAGGCAGTAATTACAATATTTATTTGGGGGACACATCCCCCTAATATATTAATTAAAAAAAATCAAATTTTTTATTTATTTTATTCATTTTTTGACTATGCTACGACAGGAAATCATGCACCGCCATCTGAAAAAATCATTAGAAAGAGTGATCATAATCATAAATAAACTTTACACAATGCCATTTTTATTACTAGCAGTTCAGATATTGAGGTGTACTACAGTTCTGCTTGTTTGTTAATTTGAGTAGCAATCACATTGACCAAGTGTGCTATTTTCTTAATTCTATATTCTTATTCTAATGTAGTTATCAGCTCAGACAATTTCAGGTCCTTCTGTAAATTATTCCAAGAAGGGGCGGCATATTTAAAAGCTTTTTGCCTAGCTCAGTTTGAACCTTGGGGACTAGCATCTGAGGAATATTGTGTTAAAAAGTGGATGTAATATTTATGTTATATTACTGTTGATTGTAATATTTTTGTAAAGTGTTATGAAAATGATAATCTTACGAATGGTTATCTTCTCAGTGGGCTAATTATTGCTTGTTTGTAGTGTACTGTGAGGCTGTACTTGCTTACAATAATAATTATAATAAACTTTATTTTGTATAGCACCTTTCAAAACACAGTTAAAGTGTTTTACAATAAAAACAGAACACATTTAAACACACAAAGAGAATGAAATGAAGAGCCCAACACTAGGCACATAATAAAAACAGGGTAAGATACTTTAAAATGTCATAAAACCTAAGTAAAATTACTTTAGATGATTCTGAGATGATGAAAGCAGTATGGGTAACACCAATAGGAGTGACATTCCCAGTAACCCCTCAGCATATTTGGTGTGGTATGTCAGACTCACCACGATGTTCATTTGGGAGGGAAAAAAGCAAAAATACCAATTGAAACAAGTTTAATTATTTATTCATGTTTTTTTGCAAATCATATGAAAAGTTTGTCAAGAAAACAACACTGTCACTGACGTCACAGGATCAGCAGTATTCACAGTATACAAAAATAGAGTCTGTCTTGATAATCCCGCTGCACGAATCACTGTCACATGAAACATTGCATGTTTAACTCTGATAAATTAAACACATGGTCCAGTTTAAGGTCTTCAATATTTAAGGCATTACATATGTCGGCAAATATGACTGGGATTGTCTCATAAATCCAACATAAAACTTAAAGAAAATAAATATATTTTGCATTTGTTGCATCATAATTAATCCAAATGATTTACATTTTTACCTGACAGACAGATAAGGCTGTGCACAGACTGGCACATGATCAAAGAAAAACAGCAAGAGCCTTGAGATAAATAAAAATGTAATGTTGTGTACTAAGCCATATTTAAATCTATCAAACAAATACAACAAACCTGAGAATTTGTCTCAGTTTTTTCACTGAGTAAATACATTCCTTGGCACAAAGTTCAAGTCATTTTGCAGCTGTAAATGTATCATCAATGCTTAAATTAATTTCAAATAAAACCGATTAACATAAGCGCATAGTGTAAAAATGTGTCCTCTCGTTATTAGACATCATCAAAGGTACATTTCCATTCCAAAAAACATAACAAATACATTTTATCACACACAATCCAATAAAATAATCTGTAAGAAAATTGATAAACCTTGCATTTAAATATTGTAGCCTATACATTACACCTCGGGTATGTACAACATTGAGAGCGTCGCTGTCAGTGCCACTCAAAACATCCCAACATTCCTTCTCCCAAAATATCAAAACCAGTGCAATTGTCCACATACTCTAGCTTCCATTTGTCACATTATCCATGCTGCAGTTATCCATAGCTTTGCACCGACAGCAGACATACGCTAATCCTTCCTTTACTGTTCGCTGTACAAGACGTCAGAGGTCAAGCTGATGTCACTGTGCAGCTGAGGGTTCAGCAAGTATGCCCGACAGGCTCTCCTCTGCCAGCTGGGACAGGTATTTCTGTGGACGAGAAGAAGAAAAGAAAAATTACAATCCAAAATGTTTATACAACAAAAAAAAGAAAGCAGCATCTTGATTAATGTCAGCATTGTAGTCAAAGCTGTCCAATCTTGTCCTCCACCAGCAGTTTGGATTTTACCTAACTTTTTTTATAACTACATTTATTAAAAATAGCTTTCAATTGAGTGTTAGTGACAAGAACTGTGGTCGTCAAGAGTTCAAATGCTTTTTGAAAGGATCTTCCACACATACAATTATGAATTGATATATTACAGTATGTAAAATTAAGGTATCAAGTGTGTGAAAATACATCAGAATAAATCAGAAATTACCAGCTTCAGTCCAAAAAATATCAGGGCTATTCCCCAACAGCCGCATCCATCAGGTTGACTCACATCAGTCGTAGACTTGTGTTCAATTTTCACTGAGACTAAATTGAATTGATAATATAAACAATAACTGACATATATCTGTAAATTATGATATATACTGTATTTCTCTGTGTTAAAGTTAATCTATGTAGATGAGTGAGTAAAGTTAAACACTAATCTTTGGTTAATAAAATGACAAATATTAATCTAGAACTATCAAACACCAGAACACAGACACACACACACAGGGAGCTCTGACTGACAGCACAACTGTTCAAAACAGTTTTTTTTTTCGTCGTGGAATGTAATCCATCAAAGGTTTGAATCGCTGCTCCTCCGACTTGCCTCAGCTGTGCTGTCGGGGACGAGAGAAATGCAAGATGGCTCGGTGCTGAGTGGGCAATAATCAGAAACCTAATAGAGTTGCAAGTTCGCATGCAATGTTTATTTTCATTTACGCGTGTGTGCTAGTTAGTGTGGCACACTGACTGCATTCCTGCATTTTGTTTTGGAAAATTATTATTTTTCTCATTAACTGTTTAGTCTATAACAAGTCAGAAAGGAGGTCTTTAAATTACTTAGTTTTTCCAAAAAGTAATACAAAGCACAAAGACATAAATCTTTGAAGTTGAGAAACTTGATGCAGCTAATTTCTTGTATTTTTCCTCGTTAAAGGATTTAAGCAGTTAATTATTAAAACTAGTATCATTAGTTTGTTGGTATATTCACTGTCTTTTGTAATTCTGTTTAGAAAACATCATATTTGATTGAACTTTTTAAGTAAAATTCATCCCCAAAATAAGATGAACATAAGAAGAAAGGAAAAGAAAATGAACACGCGTGTGCTGAATGTGTGAAGCGATAAGTCACCAACTCAGTAACAGGTGGTGCAATCTTGTGAATTTTGCTACCATACCACACCGACTGTGGACCACACCAGCAGTGCCTTCAGTACAGTGGAGCATGCTTACTGACGGAAACACTCTCCGTCTCAGCGAGGATTAGCATTCTCATATAAGTCATGGACTGAATAAAGAATGAAAGAATAAAATGTGGAAATGTATAATTTATCACTTTAATCCTTTTTGCCATCATCACCTGAGGGACTGTGTGTATCACCGTGCAGTGTGTACCTGTAGGTTCCTGTAGTGTACAGTGCTGCGACAGTGAGTGGTCTTCGCCGTTTCCTCGCTGTTATAGAACAGTCCACAGAGTTTACAGTAGAAGCCGGTCCTCGGCACGATAAACTCCACTCCTGTTAGACAGGGACAGTAAAACAATAGACAATGAGCATTAAAATCCCAGAAAACAACACCTAACAGATGGAGGGTCCTCACAAAAGGTATTTACAGTGTGCATAACAGCTACTGCACTTTACCTTCCTACTTTTTATGATTTTTTCCCACAGTATCTTAATTTTGAAAGGAAAAATATTGTGTTTCTTTTATTTACGGTACATCTTTTTCATCATTTTTTGTCATTCTCATTAACTGAAATCGACATAGAGAAACTAAAGCATGCCTCTGTCAGTGGCAGGCTGAATAATCTAGGATAATTCAAGTATTATAATTTGCTTTAAAAGTGTTTTAGAAGTGAAATACAAGTCAAATTACATTGAGATGGCTGAAACCATGAGATGAAGAAGATGAAGAAGTTAGTAAAGTGCTTAGGAAACGCATGATATCAGATTTTCACTACAAGATTATCATAGTTAGAAGAGTTTTCAATAAAAATATTGCAACAGAAAATAAATAATAATAATAATGCTTATCAGTCAAAGTCATCTTTAATTTTGTTTGTAGGGAGGTGGAGAGAGTCTGTAGCTATATCTGTACAGAATCATACAAGAGGAGCAGTTACACTTAATGGATAGTGAAAAGGAAACCAGATGGCATTAAAGGAGGGGGACAAAGTGAGAACAGAAAGAAATGGAAATGAGTTAAGAGGCGTGGGATTGTTGACAGTGTTATCATATGTATATCATTAACATAATATCAATAATTCATTTTTAAATATCACTGTTATTGTCAGTTCCCTTATATCACAACACCCCTGCAGCACATGAAAAGTTCATTTTCTATTATATGAAATGAACTAAACAGGAAGGGACACTAGTTCAATGGTGTTCTGAGGAAAGCGGAAGTTTCCGCCAAAACATGTCAAGGTATGTAACATCCTAACACGTCTGAGATAAAAGAACAACTAAAGTCATTATCAGGAAGGCACACTATTCTCTTTTATCCATATATTAGTATATATGTTATTTTAGTTCTTTAAAAACACTGTTCAGGTGAGTATCCAGGTGCATCTTAACTACACACAACTGGCTGCGACAGTAAAAAGTTACAACACGGCAACAAACAACCAGATGACTAATCGGTGTTAAATTTGTCTGGGCCGTGCTATCAATGGACACAGACTGTTCTGACACACACACACACACACACACACACACACACACACACACACATTCATTCTCGGGGCATCATACACCAGAAATAGCCCCGCTCACGTGTCTGTACTGGGGTCTATTGTTGTTGCAGTGCACCAGGGCTTATGTAAGTCTCCATGCAGCGGGCCCAATGCTGGCCATGTGCTCAGCCGTGTCATTCTAGCCCTAATGATAATATAAATACTCATCTCTCAGGGGTGCATTTCACAACCTGCTCACAGAAATAGGTCAGCAAGTCGCCAAGCGATTCCACTCAATTACAGTGCTAATGCAACAGGTTGTCAGTGCACTTATTAATGGCGTACATAATAACACTTCATCTTATTAATAACACTTCATCTTTGGGACTAAAACCACAAGCTCAGGGCTCAATGAACCTGTCCCTGTCACAACAAATAAATATAGACCCGTTTAAAGACTTTTGGACTGGGTTTAATTCAGCCAGAGAAATCTGATTATATCATTATTTCTACTTTTAGACCTCTTTTACATAACCTGATATTTGCTGACAGAACAATAAATCAAATCACAGAGGATCTCAAATAAAGTGGGTATACATTCAAGTTAGAATCAGAGTAATAATTAAACTTGTTCTGCTTACCCAAAGGGATGCTGTGTTCACTGACAGCTTTGTCTTGCTCTCGAGGTGGTGATGGGGCCTCAATCTCTGCAAGAGGTACATAAGTTATAAGAAAGCCAGGATGCACTAAACATTAGAAATTGTGCTTCGTTAGTGCATGATGGGAAAGAGATCACACAAGTTCGGGAACTGCCCACTGGTCCAACAGCCCATTGGTCCGACAGCCCATTGGTTCGACATCCCATTGTTCCGACCATATTAAACCCATTGTTCCGCAGTCCCGTTGTTCCGAAATCATCATGATGCCCTGTGGTTAAGGTCTGGTTAGGTTTAGGCACAAAAACCACTTGGTTAGGGTCAGGAAAAGATCATGGTGTGGGTTAAATTGAAAAAGAAAGTGACAAACACATAAACCGTGAGCCTGCTCCGCCTCAAGCCTTTCCCAGCTGACCCAGAGCCGGTCGCGGCGCACCATCAAGGTAGAAATATGCCTGCTGGGAGTCGTTCAGCACCGTGGACAGGCGGACTGATGGGATGTCGAACCAATGGGCTGTCAGACCAATGACATGGACCCCACAAGTCCAGGACACTGCATGAAAAAGTTGCTGTAAACTATTTCTAAAACTATCTCCTTGGGAAAGAAAAAAGTACATACATGTAGGTGCTTGCGACAATCACCATCAATCAAACTTGAGACAAATCTAAAAATGGATGTTTAGAAGGGAACTATTATGCTTTCCCTTATTTTCTGTCATGTATATATATATCATGTTACAATTTTGGATTTTCATATTAAAAGTGGCTGAAATTTGAAATAATGAGGTAAACATATGTAAAAATAACCCCTAAGAGCAAAAACGTCAGACTTCAGAGCGTTTCTGACAGTTTTTCTATTTTGGCTACAAGATAACCTCAGTTGGTAATAGATTTCTTTATATGTTCATCTGCTCCAGGCATATTACTGCAAGTGTTTACATTACGTTACCTACACTGCGACATGTAGCTACATGCTAGCATCAGGGAAACCTGTAACTGATTGTCAGTGTCGTTAATTTCTTCCGGATTTCGGATCATATCTTCCTGCTGAAACATGTCCAGTTGTGGGGGTTTTGGTTTAGCTTTTCTAAGTGATCTTTTACAGAAGAAAGTGCTGCTATACTCGTTCCAGTCATTCCCCAGCTGCAGGTACACCGCTACATGTAGCTACATGCTAACATCAGGGAAACATGTAATCTTGGTTGCAGATGTTGTTAATTTCTCCCTGATTTCGGATCATATTACAGCTGGAACATGTCTGGTTGTGTTTAGAAGCTTTGATTAGTGAATTTTCACAGTATAAAGTGCTTCTATACTCGGTTAAGTCATTTCCAAGCTGCAATTACAGTGCAGAGATGCTGAGATGCGGAAGACCCAAAAACACTGACCAATCACAGCAGATTTGACTCTTTTGGATAAGGGACTTCAAGAGACAGGCGCTAAAATGGAGTGTCTCAGACAGAGGGTGAATACAGGTGTTCCAGCACAGTCAGAGGAAAATAAAGTGCTTTTTGAACATTAAAGCATGCAAAGATGTTCTAGTAGAAACCCATAATACAAGTATGAACCTGAAAATGAGCATAATAGGTCCCCTTTAGCCGAACAGAACACTGGATCTTGTGGTTCTGCTACAAACATCTGACTTGGTTTTTTTTTTTTTAAGTACCTTTTTTAAGAACGGCATCCTTGTGTTGAACCCCATCACTGATTGTTTCCGTGACCTGTGCTACTTCCGGGCTTTTCCTGTCCTCTGATACATGAATGTGATTCTCCATTGGCTCCTGTGATGGCCCACTTTTCATTGCTTTATCCTCTGAACACGTCTCCTCCAGTGCAGCCTTGAACTCCTCACTGGGGAAGTCACTAAGGTTAGTGACTGGCAGCTCAGGCACCACTGGACTGAGTGTCTGGTTTTCAGGACTGGTTGCAGTTAAAACATCCCCTGGTTTCTCATTTACAGGTGCTTCTGCCTTGTCTCCCACATCCTCACAGGACTTTTCCTGGTTAGACTTCTTGTTGGACGTCCCCTGCACCTCCAAGGAGGAGGTAGGTGTTGGTATATGCTCCGCTGCTGCTTCTTCCTCCACAGACTCTTTGGGGCAGGATATGTACTCATCCAGCTCAGGAAGGTCGGGCTCAATTATGGAATCATCTTCTCCTCCCACTTCATCTACAGTGACCAGTTCCTCCATGTTCTTAGGGTACCAACACTCTTCGTCAGTGTTATCTCCACTTTCCAACTCCTTCACCTTTGACAGGATAACAGAAAATAGCTGTTAATACTCATAGAAGCAATCTACAGCTTTAAAACGTGTATACACATGAACCTGTGGGGTCCAATAGGGGCCTGAATGTGTAATAAAGATCACAATGCTTACTCACAGTGTCTCTTTCTTTACTACATTCAGTTGTTGCCTCTTTTGGCATGTTGCTTTGCTGAGGTGAGACAGATTTTTCTTTTGACTGGCGACCCTAAAAAACAAACAAATAAAAAGTTTATCAGCTAGAGGGATATGCCATGTAAATCAGGTATAATCAACAAATAATACATATTCATATCTACTCACAGTATTTTCAGTTGTATTTTCTTTCTCGTGTTTTTCTGCAGAGGTGTGCCTTCTGCTTGTCTTTCTGCTCCTGCCCCTGCCTGGTGAACCCTGCCTCTTATCATCTAGTGTCCTGCGAAGTGGCTCCTCCGTTATCTCAAACTCAGAATGCCTCGATCTACTGTGGTAGTCGCCGCCATCCCTCCTCTTTGGCTTTGTATCATGCCTTTGGTATGGAGGTCTGGGGGCCTTGTCTGACTTGAACATTTGCTCCTTCATGTAGAAGTCATCCTCCATGTTCCTGTAAGAGCTGAAGGCCATGCCTTGAGGGCTGCCTCGTGGGTGCCAGTCTCTGTTGCCCCTCATCCCTTCACCTCCTCCTCCTCCTCCTCCACCACCTCCACCTCCTCCTCCTCCTCCTCGCTCATCTGCAGATCTTGAGCTGATATGATCCAAGGGTTTCTGGTAAGCCTTCCGACGCTCGGCTGCCCGTCCATTAGTCCGATCGTCATCCGCGCTGCCCCCATTCCTCCACGGGTCATCCCTCTCCCTTTCGTCCTCACCCCTTCTTAAGTGTGATGACCAGTCCCAGGAGCCCCGGCGGGGGCCCATGCCATTGCTGCCTCTCTCTGGACCCCTGCATGGTGCCCCCTGGGGGCTGTGGGCAGAGCTGCATGATGTAAAACTGGGACTGTGGGAATGAGGACTCAGAGAACGGCTGATAGGGCTGCGGGAGCGTGCTCTCTCTGGCATGTAGCTGGAGGGAGACAAGGGGTGGATTACATGGAGAAATCCTCTAAAGCTTCACATATCATTCATAGCCTGATTTATATAATATTTTATTCCTAAAAACATGGCCAAAATGTATGTGATATGGCTGCTGACAGTATTTTCTGATTTATGGAGTCATAAAAAGAAATTGAAACCCCCTCTGTAAAAACATTTGGCTCTAATGTGTCAAAATAAAACAAGAATTTTGAACGTGGCTTTATCCAATGTTCTGATTTTTTTAATTTGATGGAAATGTATGGAAATTAGTGCTTATTTAATTGGATACGCCTCAATTAATCAACTGGGGAAGTGTTGCATTGAAAATTTTACCCTAATTCACCAGAGCTGTGTCCTCTTAAACATGACAGAATACGCTGACACATGGGCACCAGTAGAAAAGTACTTAATGTCATTAGGAAAAAGAAGGAAAAACTTTCAAGACCACAATTTTTAAAATGTAAAACAATTTAATTGTTTATTTATTTATATTCCTCTTATTCTGATTTAAACTGATAATTATTGTCTTTTTTTCTGTCAGTGCTGTTCTACAGTATTAACACTGCCTGTTACCATCACTATAAGATGATATTGCAGGGAAAAGTGAAGGAAAGTAACAATGTTTGTGACTGGTATTTTTAAGGGATGCATTGGTAAAGAGTTGGGCTGCATTTATTTATTAGTTTGGAGGAGGTTAGAAATGGCCGGACTCACTTGTATGCTCATTAACGGTCACAATTGTGTTTTTGGTTTTCTGTTTTTATTTTGCGAGTAAATTAAAAAAAAAAAAAAAAAAAAAAAAAATCAACTTCAATAATCATCTGTGGTACATTTCACCTCAATGAATTTCCATTTTGCTTTACTACATTTGTGACTCAAAGAACTTGGTTTCATGAAAACATTTGAGACCAGTAGAATAAAACGTTGCCTTACTGTTCAAGTTCTTGCATCTCATCCCTCTCCCGCTGAGAGGTGATATCCAGGATGATTGACTGAACATCTTTACCTGGTTTCTATACAGAAAGAAATTCTCACTTAGTAACTGGCTTTAGCTGCCTATAACATACTGTTTACTTTGTTCCTCAGTCTTACCTTGAGTTGCAGCTCCTTGTATCTCTTCGACATTCGTATGAGAAGTTTCTGATTGTTAATCATAGCTGGAGTAAGTTGGTAGTATTGAACCATTGCCTGAGCTGCTTCAACATACGCCATCTCCAGAAACGCCTGATAGGAGAGCAGAACATAGCTGTAAACAGTTCTGACAGTTATATGGTTTTTCTTGCAGGACATACGCACAAACATGTTTCACATCTCAGATGTCGGACTGGATGCAAGCAAATCTTTGAAAATCATCATCACAAGGCATCACATTTCATTACTATCATAAATCAGCAGAACAGTCGCTTTACTCCCTGTAACCAACACCACGATTTTAGTATGAATGCTTTAAATGTGATAGGGCAGACATTAATGCTGTAGTTCAGTTCTGATAGCTGAAACCTGGGAACCTGACATGTCATGTAGTGGTAGTTAAACAGCCAGTAAGTTATGACAAAGTACATGATATCACATAACAGCTGCAGCAGAAGAAAAGCTGTTGATAGTCAAAAAATTGCACAGGATAATTTCATGATTATTTTGGAACTGATCAGGTCAGAAATCTGTGTAAACATTTATTGATTTCTATGAAACATAAACAGTCACTAAATAGAAATGTACCTGATGGGTAGAGCGCATGAGGATGTAGTTGGTGACCTTGCCAAAGGGTAGTCCCAGGTTGATGACATCATTCTCTGTGCAGCTGCCTTCAGGGAGGTTGCAGATGTGAACAACTCGCCCTGCTGTGGCCTTTCTGGGTGGAAATGGCTGTGGATAATCAAAATAATTACGACCATGAATACTGTTTTAAAAGTCACACAGATTGTTGTCAAAAATCTACTTAATGTCTGAAAATAACTGTTGAATTGAGTCAAAAACTTCATACTGGTATATCAAAAAATTAAACATTGAAACTTGCACCAAACTGGAATCAAAGTAACGTCATCCTGCTTAAAATCTGTCTGTGATTCTACTATAATACACTTGGCTGTCAAATTCAGCCAACATCTCCTCACACTCCTCAAGCTGTCTGTTTTTTTTGGATGTGCTGAAAAGAAAATCAGGTGTTTATAGACAGACCTGGCTCTGTAAATGGGCAATAAACAAGTGGCTCGGACAAAGCTAAACACAACTCTATTGCACTGTGCTCGTTCACAGGACAGGGGAAAGGCCGTGGATGTATACAGAGAGAGGCAGTGGGAGTGAGGGGGACGGTAAAACAGAGCCTCTGAAGGAGCACCAATGGGAGGGGTGTGTTTCTTTGGGTATTGTCGCAGATTCCACCTTTAACACCTTCAACAGTTTACCTGGTTAGTAATCTGGTTTTGTTCAGTTGTTAACTTTTGTGCACAAACCTGCCAACTTTATAATGAGAACAAGACTTCTGAGATCCTGTGAGCACTGAACCCATCTGTTGTTGGTCAAGGAATCTAGTTACAATCTGTAAGCTAACTGCTCCAACCACTTCCTTTTCTATTTCTACATAGGTGAATATACAAGATATAACATGTACCTACAGTTAGGAAGTTTTATTTTTAGCACAGCTAGGGTAACAGTTGACCCTGTACTTCCAGTTAATGTGGATATGCAGAGATAAAACCAAATTGATACTGATCTTCTCATCTAACTGGGCTTGACAGAAAAATAAAACCTTCCAATAGTGTCAGTGTGATCTTTTAACAATCTGTGTGGCACATCAGTCAGTCATACTATAGGTGACGAGATGAGTCTGTCTGGCATCAATGTCTGGCATCAATGTAACACTATCGCACAGGATGCCATGTCATTTTTCCCCTCCTTGATACAACCCACCTCATTCCATCTATTAATAGTTGCTTGGCAGAAGTGCAGCAGTGATAATCAAAGTTTTCTTGTTTGGATTTAGAGACTTGTCAGCTGACTGGCCTCAGACATTTCACACATTTGATGTAAATCCCTCTGGGTTGCCAAGTATGGCGACCTGCATTGCTCTTTTACATTATAGGTCCCTGACCAGACACCTTTTAATGTATGTAAAAATACTCTGCTATGATAAAAATGTTGTTTCACATAAAAAGCTTCACTTTGTCCAGCGCTGGTGCAGCACTAAAATGAAATGTGGCGATAGGTCTGGCTATTAGGAGTCTAGCATTATATAATATGACTGGTGAAAGAGCAGTGCACGTCAAGATGGCTAGCGTTAGTGTTAGAAGAAATATGGGAGGGATTCAGCTGCACGTCTGAGCCTCAGTCAGACAAGGAGTCTGTTGTGCACCAAAATCACGTCTCAAAATAGGCTGTTCACACACACTAATCGTATATTTTCCTGCAAAAAATAATTCACCCAAATTCGCACATACCCCACAAATTTTGAAAGGCTGCAATAACATAAACAGTGAGCTTGCAGGAGTAACAAGCAGTCCTGAGCAGTCTTGAAAGGAAGCTGGTTGGGGTGGTGGATGGGTCACAAAAACCCCACCTTTCCTCTGGGACTTTCCCCTGGTATTGTGTATTTGGAACCATGTGAACTCTGAGTCATTTTAAGGTACGTCCTTACCTTTCCTCAACCTAAACTCTATAACTTTACATTAATAACATAACTGTAGTTAAGGATGTAACATCATTGATTCGTGGGATACCATATGAACCGTTCTATGAGAATGTCAGAATCAGAGTAAGCATAGATAGCATTTTATATTTGTTTATGTTGTTTGTTTGCTTGTCAACCTTTAACTGGCAGTGGCTGACACAGTGTTAGTGGTTGTGACACATGTAGTAATATCTGCTATACTTGCTTTGATGTCACAGTACGTTCACATTGTCACTTTGTACATAATAACACCTGGCTCCTCCTCGGGCACCCCTTATTTCGCTCGCCTTTGACATGGAAAGCTCCACCCCGCAAGTTGACAGGATTGGTTACCAAGGTTTATGATGTAACAAACCCTGGCTGTCTATATCCGTGTTTTACTGTCACTGTTACACAGCAGTTCCAAAGTAGAAACACACAGCCATGGCGCTGACTACTTATTTCACCTATATGTTTTGTTGCATATAAAAAAAAAAAAAACATGCTATATAGACATGTTAAAAAGGTCAAAAACTTGATTTTCATTCAAAAAGGAGTGAGCAAATAAGCAGTAAATTATATTTTTCTTTATAGAGACACAGTGGTCTGCAGAGAGACACTACAGAGATGGTGGAAGTAATTTAATCTGTTGTGGTTTTAGATATTGTATTATTTCTGTTTCTAAAAATCTACTGTTTTATCATAAATGCTGTTATTTACTTTAACAGCTTCATTTTCTACAGACAGATGTTAAGTTTTGAATTTTAATTTCTGTCTCTTTCAGATTTCTTATTATTCACCCATCCTTTCTCCCAGCTCAAATATTTTGCACTCTGTCTTTTCCAACTCCCCGCTGAACTTGTGCCCCGCTGATTTGTCCTTACATCGCTGTCTATACCTGCAACTTTCTTTTGACTAATAATCACCAAGTTTTTCAGCCTCAATCTCTGTCCAAAGCAGAATTTAGAGAGCAGACACATTAAACCAGAAATTGCACCCTAAGTTTTCATTTCACCCTGCTCATTAGTTCCCCTAAACAATGTACTTACTACAAATACAACTTTAAAAATACAGAGGCAACTAACACTGACTGATTTAATCTGTCTATCTTTATTCCTCATCAAACTAGCCAATGGACATACCGTTTGACACCTTTAAACATCATTGCGGAAAGCGGTTGTAAATTCAGCTCGTCATATCTTGGAGTCTTATTTCTGCAACCATTGTGCTGCAATTGCAAGTTTCCCAGCGCCCCTCCTCCTCTTCCTGCCTCTCTGGCCGACAGACCTGATGGACAGTTCCATGTGTGGGACAGACTGGGGTCCTAATTTCACCTCCGACGAGCAGCCAGGGTTTTTACAGGGAATTTGTTCAGGGAAAACCCAACGATAACATACACTTCACACTGGGTCCAATGGCCATGAAGTGTAGGGTATATTAAGGGGAGGAGGAGCCTTTTACAGTCTTATAGTCCCTTTACTGTGCATGTTGAAATATAACCAGAGGCAAGAGTGTCAGTATTCACAACATACATAAAGCACTATCACAAGAAGTCCATAAAAAGCATGTCATTGTATCTGAAGCAGTTCATAAACTGTGGATATAAATAATGACGCAACAGCACTACACTTTAGGCAGTTATTACTGTACACAAATTGTGGAAAGGAGCAATTTATACAACCCTGATAAAAAGATAATCTGGATGAGCTAGATTACTAATTTCTATGCCACAAATTAATGGTTTCTGGCCAGCAAGATGACATCAACAGCTTGATAAGAGTGATAATTCTATTAACAGCTTCATGCCGCCACCAGAACACATAAAGGTCAGTGCAGGTTGGGCTCAATAAACAGATCCAGGAATAGGCTGTTTATGACTTTGGAATATTAGAGAGAACAAGAGTCTTCGCTCGTGGCACTTGCTAATGTCTGACCTGTAAGATGTCGTCTGTGTCTGAAAGCTCAGACAGTTTGACCGCAGCATTGATATCACTGTCAAGGTTGGCTCAGGCTTTGAACGGTAGCTCTTTCTGTCAACCGCAAACCAGAGGCGCAAAGTTATGCCGTGTCACTGCCTACTCAGGGAGGCAAAACACACATTGCTGGATCACGTGGCGGGCTGTTTTGCAGACGGGACTTTCAATATATAGAACAACAAAAACAAAACCCACAGTCACAGTTTGAGGCTTTAAATCACCCACACAAAACAGGTAATGCACTAACATCCATTATAGCTTGATTCTCATTTTGATGTATTTCATTTGTTTTTTTGTGCTAGTCATCACACCAGCCACATGGACTACAGTCGAAAATGAGCTGAACTGGCACATTTATAGAAATGTTTATTAATGTGTACTGTCCCTGTAATCTTAAACTGTATAAATAAAATAAATTTATTAAAAACACAATCTGAAAATCAGCCTATATGGCTGAATTTGGTTTTTTTTACAAATGTGCATTGTCCCTTCTTAAAAAAACTAAACAGAAAACAGAAACTTCAGAAAAAATTAAAAAAGAGGAAATATTGTTTTGCAGACATACTGAGGCCAATTTGCCCGGTTACATCCCTCTCCACCCAAAAAAGAAAAAAATTAAATTAACTATGACTGAAACATAGCTTGAGTAATTAACATCTCTCTATCATGCTGGCTTCATCATACATTAAAATTTTACTTTAAGTTGTCAAACTAACTATCAGCCACTTTTCACTCTACACCACAGTCAACAGAAGCAAGGGTGTAAGATTTATTTCAACACTGGGGGGGACATGTATGAAGTGGAGGGTTGGCGGGCCCTCCCTCAGAAAATTTTAAGCATCAAACCCTAAACTTCCTGCATTCTGGTGAATTTTTATGCACCAAATTGTGCCTTATGGTATAAATGTATGGTGCAAATGTCTTTAATTTTTGAAACGTAAAAAGTCCTCTATTAGTTTCAGGCTTTTACTGGGAGGGGAATGCAAGTTTTAAATATTGTGGTGGACGTGTCCACTGCGTCCTCCCTGACACAACGGCTTTACCTGCCACAGTGTGTTCAGCCATATGTCCTGTTGCTGAAAAACTCTCAACGCTATAAGCAATTGAACTATAGCCAAACAGTGTAAAGGATAACATGGTGCTTTCCTGTTTTCACTGACACTGCACTGACTGACATAAGCTGGAATCTCTCCTAAGGACGTGTCTGTTTATTTTTACAAAGCGGGATCCATGTTGGAGGATCCAGGGAGATAGCCAATCTGGTTTCACAGTTTCTCCCCACGTTCCTACGCAGGGCGCTCGCACGCCGATCCCTCAGATCGCTTTACCAGTCTCTCACCAGTCTGAAATGTTACACCGCAGCCTGGGGGTGTGACCCAGGGGTCTTAAGGTCTGTGCTCCTAACAGCAGTTAGCTGTAATCCAGTGTTTATCTCCATTTGAGTTCTCTTATCACTTGAAGCTACTGTGCTACTTCAAACTGGGCTGCTGGAAACTCCAGTCCAAACTGGGGAATGTGGTGTATGTGCACGCGTGCATGTGGTATGCTGTATGTATGTGCTGGTGCACATGTGTAAGCTTCTCTGTACATGCTACATTCTTTATTTTTTACCATAATAGAAATTTAATTGAAATGTACATGTTTACCCTGTAATCTGCATATACAAACATACACAAATAAAACTTAATACAACAAAAATAAGTTCACAATATATTGTCGCGTGTGGCTGTGAGTGCACGTGTGTGTGTGCTCTCTGTTCAACACATGGCTTTGAAACCAGTAAAACCCCACCTGTTGTGCTTAGACAGGTGTGTGTTTATAGCAACCAACATTAGCTCATGTAGCACAGCCCATAAATATTTTCCCACTGATACAATCAAACCCTTTGTCGATAAGCAACCTATGAAGTGTATGACTTTCACATCACTGACTTCAGGCTCCTGTAAAATTGGCTCCGCCGGCAATAAAGAAAGGAACAAATGGCTGATAGAGAACAACAGAGTCACGGTGTATGTTGGAATAAGGGAGGTATTTTTACAGTGGAAGGGGTGTAATTTAAACAACATGGCATCAGAATGTGAAACAGCTCCTGTTGACCGTACAGTTTTTTATTATTATCTTAAACACACTTCTTTACAAGGCCCAAATTGTCCTGCATATTTTAATCTAACTTTTCACTAGATTTTCTGTTTCTGTAAAAATTATGTCATATTTATTTCTATTTTCTTTAAGACCAGTCTTACTGTGTATTTGTACATTTCTATGAAAATCCCAAAATGTCCAAAGACACCTAATACATCTGGCAGAAATACAGGTAATGATGTTGATAAATTGATTCACAAAATATTTATGGTGTTCACTTAATATTATATCAAATATTAATAATATTACATTTTAGTCATACAACAATAAAAATGTCATCCTAAGTTTTTTTTATAGTGTAAGTGTGATACACTGTAACTTCATTAAAGAGCTGATGTAATTTTTTGGATCTAACTTGACAATTTTCTGTGACATCTGACACTGATTTCATGTTTGCGAAAAAGTGTTTGGTAAAAACAACCTAGAATTTTCACTTAAATTAAAGCTGTGGGTCTCAAACTTTTTTTTTATTTTTAAAACTCATGATTGGATCCCCACGTCATAACCCATTAGGGCTGTCAGAACGAACTTCGCTATTCGAAAACAATTTGAATTATTGTAAAAATAAGCATATTCGAAGTTGGAAACTAAGGTTCGAATATTCTGAAGAAAAAACAAAACAAAACAAAAAAAACGGCGCTCTACCATGCATTAAGAGGTGTTTTTTGGGGAAATACATGACTGTCAGAGAAGCCCCGTTTAAAAACAGACCTACAATCCATCTCCTCTTCTCTCCTCTCCTCTCCTCTCTCTCTTCTCAGCGGAGGGTGCGCTGTCAGCCCTGCGTTGACAGTGACAGGGCGCATCTCTTTGATCCGAAGTGACACAGCCCGTTTGCTCATGCTTCAGGGTCGTTCAATAGAGTAATTGCAAATAAATATTGTTTTAAGGTGTAACTATTGAAATGTTCACAAGGGCTTTCATAAATTCTTACAATGTTGCGGCACTGCCGCCTTTGCAGGTTAAAAGTTAATGACAGCGACTTGAAGTGAGGAGGAGCAACACATCTCCAGCTTGTCAGCACAGCGGTGTCGGTACCGATACAGCTGCACAGCCGGAGATGCTCACTTTTGCATGTGATGCAAAATATTAAAATAACGTCATTATAACACAAAAAATATAAAAATGCGATGGTAGGCCAAGGCTATAGCCTATACCAAGAAAAAATTTGAATATTATTCAAATTTTTAACATAAAAACATTAAAAATTTGAATCTGATTTTGGGGGAAGATTCACAGCCCTATAACCCACGGGGGTGTGATTATGTGAATGTCAACAAGTTTCTACTTTTAAATGTATTTAAGTATTAACGTTGCATTAATCACTGTTGACTCAGATGAAAAACAAAAATCACAGAGACTGAACCAACAGTTTTGCCTTCATCACTCGCTTATACAACATTCGCCATCTTCTGCAGCCTTGTTCATCTTCTGATCTAAGATCCACTCTGGTCTAAAGGACAATCCTTACACAACAACCAATCACCATGGAAATGTGCAGGTTCACCTCCCATCAATAGAGATTTTAATTAAATGTATCTTTGCTCAATAACTACTGACCACTTGTCATCTGTTGTAAATTTAAAATTCTACATAAAGCCTATAGTTTACATTTCCAAACCTGAAATCAATTTACTTAAGTGTTTTCAGTAGGTTCACATGACACTAACAGTATCACAGTTCTGCATACTTGCACACTTTCTAAAGGCATACTTTCATTAAATATTAACTTTTATTACTATTATTATTTTAATATCGTCAGTTTAGAAATAAAAATGACCCTCCTGCGAGGTATTCCATTACTGGTATACACAAATTTCACACAATGTCAGGCTGGACATTTTATTACATTATTGGCCAAGTTATTACATTATTAGGTTTTATTACATTTTCGATCAGGTTAGGTGTGAATTTTATCACATTTTCAGATGTTGTTAAATTTTCAGGAAATTATTACATTATTTAGTACTACTACTGTTGGTTAAGTATGTTTTAAGAAGTTAAGAGAACTGCAGCTAAAGTACATCATGTATACACCGTACGAGTCTGCACAGTGTGTACAGTATGCATCTGTGTGCAGGAATGTGCTCCTGCATTGTGTGCGTGTTAATGCCCGCTGCCTGTTGAAAACTGTGCGCTGGGCACCAGAGATGGCTATCCACAGGTTTGCAGGGTCTAATTTTCACCTCACTCATCACTGCACTATGCTGTTCGGAAGACCTGCCTTCGTGATTGATGCCTATCAGCAGCTGCTGCTTGAGCATGTTTACAGATTGTTTGGCCTAGTAGAAAAATACAAATTCATAAAAAATAATAGTTTAGATCTCGTTACATAAGCTTCTGTCTGTTCGATGTGGATAAAAACATTCTGGACTAATGCTTGCTATTTGTAACATCCCTATAATTTGGCGTTGCTGTGCTGCCATCTCTTTGTTTTTACATCATGCCTGCAAACATCGCCGCAGCAGCACTTCAGCAGCCTTTTCAAATCCTCCATCTGCATTCATAAAAGTTATATTCAGTCACAGTGATTTCATGATGGCCTGGTTACATATGGAAGTAGATAAAAAAAAAAATTTTTAAAGTGCAAAAAGCTCTTTCAGTTAGCTTTGCAGGTACATGTGTGTGACGTAGTTGGAGCCTGGGCCTTTGCAAAGCTTGTGTGGACAGCTGCTTTGGTTAACATAAAACTGTTTCTATTCTGAAAGGCAGACAGTTCAAGACTCTGCTGTCTGTTGTCCCAGCTTGACAAATTTTGACAGTAGGATGCATTTCAAAACATGCAAAATGTGTGAAAATCTGCCTAAAATGGAACAGATGAATCTTTTATGTAATCAGCACTATAAAGTATAATAATGCAGCACAGATCACATACTAAAATCCCTAAACGTCTGTACAGCATTTTCCTAAATCAGCTACTACAGTTATTTATCCCCATTTTATCACTTAAACTGTATCCAGTGGCTGGATAATCATTAAGTTGTAAAAAAGGGATATATGAGAAATTTCAACACGTAGTTTCTAGCCAACATTGTAATGAGACAGTTTGCCTGCCTCTCCAGTTGAGTGGAAAAGAGTTGTCAAGCCCAGACAAAGCCTGCTGTTGGGCCCCAGCAGCTGTCAACAAGAGGATCTGGGTCTATTCATTATGCACCTTATGCCCTCTTTGCTGCTGCTGAGCTACTAATTCTTCAAGGACACATGGAAGAAATGCAGTCTATATGAGAAATGCTGGGTTTAAAGTATTAGCATGTCATCAGTCTGATACTCACTCTGCAGCAAAGACCACCAAAGGAAACTGACCAGGGTCCTCGGAGTCTATTGATGCAGTACTCATTGATATAAGTCAAACAGAATCACTAATCACTTTGAACATTTCTACGAAACGAGGTACAATCAAGGCATAGCCAGATTCAAGTTCAAGGATGACACCTGTGCCTGATCACTAGCATTCCTTATAGCCTGTCACAAAATCTGATTTATAAACACAGGGCAAAAAAAACATGCATTTGTCTGACCTTTAACTCTGTCTGGTGTGAGGCAAATCCTGTGTCTGACATGGGATAAGTCTTCATGGCTGCAGCTGGCAAGTATGATGGATTGGCTCCTGAGGATACATCTGTGGAAACAATTTGAAATTTGGATTTAAAATTTGTCTGCATACAGTAGTTCCAAGTGTGGGATAAAGCTGCATTTGTCAACTTCAATGCTCAATTTCTAGTGCATCATCATATCTTTTTTCCCGCACATTTTAATAATTTCTTTCTTGTATGATTATGGAATTTAAAAACACTAGGCTGGAATAATAGGACTCAAAACATCCACCAGTGCTACAAACATGCAGGAAATATGGTGATACTCTACTGTGAGGTCAATATACTCACAGGCTCTCAGTTATACGTTATATATAAGTATATAGATTTGTTTTGTTTTCCAGCAGTGGGTGGTGCTTGCAACAGACAGTTTGAAAACTTATTTTAAATGGAGATTTGGGGTACCGTTATAGTACACACACAACCAGGGTTTATTTTGAATTCCACAGGCTTGTTTTTTTTTTTTAAACTTGTAATTAGTTAAATGTAATTAACATGACACAGCTTGATTTTTCTTTTTCTTTTTTTTGGCTTACTCTAACAGTTGTGTACTGGTTGGCTAGAAAGTAGACACGCTTTTTCTTGTCATTTGGGTGTCTACATGTATCAGAAACTTAAATTTAAGGCTTTTTAAGATCATTTTTAACCAAATTTCAGACTTAATTTTGGACAAATCCTCTTCTTCTCATTCAAGCCAAGTATAAAGGTAAGAGGTATGTATGTAGCTCCATGCAGAGGAAGGTTTTATATAGGAAAATGGTTATTAGAGTGAGGTAGGTTAATCTACATTTTGCCAACAGGTCAGTGCAAGTATAAAGTAAAAAAAAGACTCATTTTGACAAAAAGAAATTAAAGATTGATCAATTAAATCAGATGAAATATTTGTGGTGAATAAGACCTTACAGATCTACATTCAATACTATTCAATAACGTTCAAGGGCTGATATCTACAGTATAAAATTGAAATCAAGCTGTCCGCAGCCACTCACAGGTGGTTTGTCTTAAAGTGATTAAGGGAATACATAAGGGATATAGAAAGGGATATAGATACAGGCTGGACAGATACAGTCAGTGTTACAGAAAACAGAAGCTCAGTTTGTTTCCGTGTCATTAGCTTTGTGGATTTGCTGTTATAATATGTGCAAAAGTCAAAACCCCCAACAACTGCATTTTTGGCTTAGTGTTGTGGTGCACCATATTCTGGGTATTCTAAGAGCACACATGTCATGCCATAATAACATGATGCCTCGTGCCCTCAAGTAACTCTAAAAATACTCCCTGACTGAACCCATCTATCACTCTGTTTCACATATTCCAGCGATCAGTAAAATGTCACTCTAACCCTGCTGGCACACAGAAGCACTTGTGGTGGCAAATGGGTTATCCTACCTTGACTTGCAGCAGAGTAGACCATGGAGTTAGTCCCTCCGGGGTTCAGACCTCCATCAGAAGGCCTACCGACAGCGTAGTGAACACCCCCAGCTGATGCTACCGCGGCGCTGCAACAATCAGAGAAGGCTGATTTTAGCTGCCTCTCCCCTGCCTTCCTCAGTCATATCTTGTGACAGAGCTCATATTCATAGAAACACTAAGACAGCTGTATATAGAGCGAGGAAAAACAAAATAAAAGGCTCTTAATGCTCAAAAAGATATTTGCTCTGCACTGATCAATATAGTGCTATAAATAAAAAAACACACATGTAAACACAGCTGGTAAGTTTGTTTACATGTGTGAAAATACCAAACCATGAACAAGGATGACAATAAAAGCAAATGTTTTTACTCAAAACTGTCTGAAAGTCAACAATAAACAGAATCAAACGTGTAAAGCCACGAGCTTAGTTAATATCTTAAGGTGTCACTCAACAAAACAACAACTGCTTTCAGCTCTTTCCATTGAGTTTTAGAGTAAACAACCCACCTTTCGTTTGTGTACAAGGTTCGGTTCTGCAGGTGTAGTTTTCCCTTCACATGCTGGTCCCAGTCCTAAAAACACACATATACACACACCATCCAAACATAGTCTCAGACAGCTTGGACACACTGAGAGCTCACTACTTGTCCTCCCATGGTTACCCTTACATACCCCTTGTATAAGCTCATGGCTGACAGCAATTAAAGAGACAACGTCTTGGATTAGTTTGCCACCTCATATCAAAACATTTGGCTGTGAGCTATTTTCAGGCTGAGATACCCAAAGCCAGGGTGTTACAGAAACACTTCACCCCCAAACCAAAAAAAAAAAACATGTTTTTCCTCTTTCCTGTAGTGCTATTTATCTGTCTAGATTGTTCTGGTGTGAGTCACCAAGTGTTGGAGGTAACTCAGAGATGTCTGCTTCTCTCGAATTAATGGAACTAGATGGCACTCAGATTGTGGTGCTCAAAGCCCTAAAAAATACATTTGAAAAACTGAACAGAGATGTCTCTTTCCAGAAGTTCTGATCTGGTTACTGAAGATAATCCACAGACCTTGTTGTGAGCAGTTTCATGTAGGAACTATTTTCTTGCCTACCAATCCTATCCCACACAGAAGGAAGCGTGCATCTACTCATTGGCAAGAGGCTTGTGAAAGCGTGAGATGTAAACATAACAGAGTCCTCCTTAGCTGAGCTGTAATGTTAGCTAGCTCAGTGGTGCTACATGACTAGCAGTAGATGCATGCTTCCTTCTGCATGGTGTTATGGTTTGTGTGTGTAATTTGGTAGAAAGAAAATAGTTCCTACATGAAACTGCTCACAACAAGGTCTGTGGATTATCTTGAGTCACCAGGCCATGATTTCTGGAAAAAGACATTGCTGCTAAGTTTTTGTTGTTTTTTTTGGTGCTTTTAGCACCACAAGCCGATTGCCATCTAGTTCCATTATATTGGAGAGAAGGCATCTCTACAGATAATATCTCCAACACTCAGCAACTTGCAGCAAAACAATCCAGACTGATAAATAGCATATAAGAGGGAAAATATGTATTTTTGATTTGAGGGTGAGTTGGAAACTCTTGTTAGCAACACATGGCATCTTGTTTCATTTAAAGACAAGCTACATTGTGGGCCAAAAACTGTTTGAGTTGCAGGTGAATAATTCAGTTTAGTTTCAGGTGTTCTGCAGCTACATTTATGTTAAGAAAACAAGTAACTCCTCTTACATTTACAAACAAGCATTTCCATTTTGACTTTACCCACCTTGAGGTTGTAGACCTTCTTGTCACAGATGCTGCACTGGTGTGGCAGTTGAGTGGGTGTGACGGCATGGTAATCATTGACTTGGTAAGGCTGAAGTGTCCTGGTACCTGAAGAAAGGGTTTCCTCACTTCCATGCAGGGGCTGGTAGCCCCCAAATCCCTGTGTGCCACTTGAAGCAAAAGTAGAAACCCCGCCACTGGGATTGAACTTGGGGTCAGGGGTCGGCTCCTCTGGGTTATAGAGTTCAGTTCTGGACCGAATTGGCTGCCCAGCTGCTGTCCACACATTAGCAGCATTAGACACCATATCCACCTTTCCACTGTGACTCAAGTTAGCGGGGCCCTTCCATTGCTCCTTGGAGTTATAAATGTTCATGTTCTGCTCATTGACAGTAAACCCAGCTTGTTGCCCCAGCAAATCATGTCGAAAGAAATCTCTCTGAAAATCAACATTGTTCATGTTTTTTGCCTGAGTGTTAATCACTGTATACTGTCCATCACCAGCAGTGGCTGATGCCGCAGATGTCCCCCCAGCTAAGTTGTACTGAACACGCCTGTCAGTATCAGAAGGGTAGGTTGACTTTTGACCATACTCCGCACCCTGTTGGCCCACTGGGCCTCCTCCACCAGGATGGTTCACTCTCACATTCCCAGGGTTTTGGGTGAATCCCCCACCAACCAAGGCCCCCAAGGGTGAATTTGAAGAGGAGAAACCTAGCACCCCTGTGGGGAAGGCACCCTGAGGGTTTCCAACCACAGCTGAAGCCCGTAGCTGATTGAACAAGGGTTGGGACATGGCGACATTGGAAAGAACCTGATTGAGAACAGTGGCGGCAGTGGCCGTATTGCCCCCCTGAGCCAGTTTCAGGCGTTGGAGGGTAAGCTGGGCCTGAAGCTGAGCAAGCTGGAGGCTGGCTGGGGTCAGGAGGAGTTGCTGGTTCTGCTGCTGCTGCTGTACACCACCTGGCAGCTGGCCTCCTACCTGGAGGTTCTTCTTGTCGCTGCTGTCTACACTGCAGGGGAAAAAAACATTACCTCAGGGATCTCAAAGGATAAATCCATTTACCTTGTTACATGTCACACAACAGCTGAGAAGGTTCTGCTAATATTGCTGTATATGATCACAAGTGTGCCTCTGAAGTATCAGTCAGATCCTTAGGCTGCTCTCTACTCCTCATTATAAATGGTTTAATGTGGAATGAGTCTGTATCTCAAGTGTGATATGCAGCAAGCAGTTGCACGAGTCCAGCCAATGTAAACTGGAGGAAACATGAATGCAAAGACAATGTGAGCAAAAACCAGGAGGACGAAAGTTTAAACACAGATTAGGTAGATACACTCTGTCTACAAAGAGAATTAGTGGAGGGTGTCTAGGACCAGGATTTTAATTTTTAATGACTAGAGGAGCAATTCATTGTCTCAATAGCTATAAAAGAAAACCGCTTTATGCTTTCAGGCAAGTTTACACTGGTTTCAATCATTTCACTGTTTCAATACCGCAATTGACCGCTAATATCACAGCTGTTTCTCTGCTGTGTATCAACATTTTAGCCTGTTACACAGATGTGTTGGCTGGAGCAAGTGTTTATGCTTTGTGCAGATATTGTGTATTATTACAAAACTATCAAACAATGACCACCTCTGCACGGCTGGAAAAGGTTAATGAGCATTTACATGAGGCTCTGCTAACTAGCAACCATCAGCAGCCATGTTATATTGGCGACTTTCATTTCATAGCACTATAGAAAAAAACATCAGTGGCAATATAAAGAGACATGAGCTGTCAGAAAGTTCCAGCTCCCCATAATAACACAACTGTGTTCCTCACAGCTAGCATCTGCTAACAAGGTGAATCTTACAAGTGATTGACCAGCAGATGGACCATCAGTTGGACACAGCCATCAGCTGGCTGTCAGTGCTGCTGTGTTTAGGATAAACCAAAGGAAATAATCAGAGCCAAGGGGGATTACTCAGCTGGTGTTGTTCTCTAACTTAACAATGTGTTTGTTTTTGTTAAGCACGTTTCCTTTGGTTGTATGGCTGACAAAAGTAGCAGGGAAGATGGCCATGTCAGCTGCTAAGCAGAGCGAATGTTCATTATTACAACTTGCAATGCACCCAGAGTAACTTAAATGTTATAATGTCATAGTTTATTTTTTATACATGTAGTCTGGTAAGTCACAATCAGCCACTCACTGGCTCACAGTGAACAGACAATTCTTGATGGATTAGAGTAAAAGGGGGCTATATTTAAAAACAGCAAAACTATATCAAAACATCCATTTATACAACTTGTACTATTTAAAAACACCTCTGCTTTAACAGTCTTAGGCAAGGACAAGTAACCACCTGGGAAAGTGTGTGTGTTTGAACGCTGTTTAATGTTATGCACAGGCAGAGTTCAAATACACTTGCCCAGGCACACTACTCACATGTAGAAGTGTTTTAAATAATAATAATTTGAGTGAAAATGCATGGGTTTGGGAAGCACTTAACATACAGATCTGGGTTATACTGCAGGAGTTGTGTAAGACTTTGTAAACAGACATTTTGATATAGTTTTGCAGTTGTTAAACGCAGCCACCGATGACTTCAGTTCAACAAGAATTTTGTGTTTTTGGATTCTTCGTTCACTGAGAGGGCATGCGAGAAAAAAACACACTTTTTAACTGTTTCAACTTAACACGAGGTGAGCGACTGACATATAAATTATTGTTTTGTGGTTGAGAAATTACTTTAATTTCTCCTCTAAGACTATAGAGATAAATTGACAGTGGCCTCCTTGGACCAACTAGGTTGTGTCACTAGGCAGGCACATTTACCATGAACAGACTCGTTGAATCTGCTCCACTATTCAGTCTTGTTGCGCTTGCTACCTTTCTGGCTCTTTATAGTCTGTTCAAACCAGAGCTATCACATATGAGGTAATGCAAATCTGAGTTAATGGTAAAATTTTCATGTTGAAAACTCTATAACAGCTCTTACTACTTTTAGTGTGCAATTTCATCACTATATCAAATATGTCATCAAAAAGGCTGCCCAGAAAGTCAAGGCCATTTTCATTCAGCCAGCACGGTGGCTGTTTGCACACAACATTGTGAAATGATATAACAAAACCAGTACTAGAAGCTCTGCCATCTTTTGCAGTTCAACTAAATTCCAAAGAATTATGAGCAACATATGGAAAATTATGGATTTCACCTTCCACAGAAAGGTGACACCGCACCGACCACAGGCCGGGTGCTGTAACATTATTCAAATTTCTTGAATAAAGAGAGAGTAGTTAAAGTAAAAGGAGGACAGCTGTATAGAGCACAGCTCAAATATCAAGAGGTTAGCCGCCCAAGCGCTGACTCTCCTCCTGCTATACTGTTCTATACGCCAGCTTCCTACAACACGTACTGCCAATAGAGCCACTTAGAACCACATCACCCACGGGTGCTCTGACCCTGTTTGACTGGCCTGTCCTTTTCTGATAAATGCTCTCACATGCTGTCTAAACTTAGTCTCCTCAACTATTCATCACATTATCTATGTTAAGCACCCGACACTGCCCTATCAAGAAACTGCTCCTACCAACCCTGCTAAAAGGTGACAGACCGGTCAGATTAGACGTGGTGAAATCCTAAATGGTTCGAGAAGAAGACTTGTGGCCATTTAGTTTTCCACACAGAGACAGAGGGGTACTGAATTATGGTAATTTGTGGTCATATATACACGGATTTTTCTTAAAAGCTCGTACTGCACACGTGGAGAGACAGATTATAAAGCGAGTTGTGGTTGTCCTTTTTTGAAATATAATAAAATTCAAGAGATGTTTTCAAATATGAATTTATGCAACTGAATCTTGTGGAGGATTATCACCTCGAGGTCTGTCTTTCTACTGGCTTATGTAGATATGATGTGGTCTTGCGATTACATTGCCACATCATAAACTCATCATATCACAACCATAACTCATACTCTGAGCTATACGTTCCTGCTAAATTCTGATGACTGAAAAACCTGAATGTTCTAACTGACTTAAGACATAATGTTAGAATATTGTATTTATTCCTAGGTTATTGGGGTTATGCAATTTGAGTGAATTCTATCACCTCACAATGTGGTGAAACAGCTGGAAAATAATAACGCCAAATAAAGCAATTCTCAAACTTTATTGTACTACATAATCCATAATTAATCTAAAGATAATTCATAATGGATTCCATGCCCGCAGTTCTACATAACAATGACTTAGATATATTGATATAACTTTCAGCATTCTTGTTCCATATACTTGTCATGCATTATGGCTTACTACCACAATGTTTATCTAATCAACTCTGACGGGAATCAGACTGCTCATCACTTCAGTTCTAAGATTTGGCAGAGGTCTGACACACTCAACTTTGGGTATCAAGATAATTATTAATTTGCTAGTCCAAATAGTAAAACTGAAAATATAAATATTTTAAGGCAACAGTGGATATCATTATCCACTAAAGCTGCTGTTTTTATATAAAAATTACACCTTATAATGCTTTTTACACCATTTTATCACTTTCAATTGCATCAGTTTCATATATAGAAGATACCAGTGTATTACTGATTTTCTTAGAGCTTAATTTAGGGCAACCTCAGTCACTTAAAGTGTTACTGATATTAAAGACATCTATTTTATACTTAAATTCAATTTGTTATGTTTGCCCTTCTCATGTACTTTATTCAGAAAATTTCTGGACAAAAAGTGTATTATTTATTATTAGAACAAAGACAAAACCAATACTGCTGCTAAGTTCTTTGTATTAAGTTAAAGGATCACATGTGTGCATGGTTATGGTTTTATGTATTTGCTATACATAGAATAATAAAAATATAAGTCAGACTGTTATAAAATCCAAGCGGCAACCTCCAAGGCTGAAAAATGAAGCCAACATGCAGTTCACTGAATGTCCACTTGAGGCTGGTTCCAGAAGTGAGCCAATCCCTGTAGACCCCCATGTTAAAATGCCCAGCTTTACAGCAGAAATAAACACGTTTACAGCCTGGTACAGAAAAACAGTTTTGATCCTTTTAGCTTATTTCAACATTTGTGACAAATGAACGGGGTGAATTTCTATGTAACTCACTCGCTTACTTTTTTTAAGGTATAAAGTTACGGATAATTAAGGACGGGCCGCTTTGAGCGTCAGGCTGTCTGCCGACAGTGCCCTCAGCTTCTCAGTCAGATCTACCCTCCTCCCTTCCATCCAAATATGGCTCCAAAAAACAAAGATGGCGAGGCCGCAATGCCGAACTCGAGGCTTCAAAAAGGCAGTCCACAAACCAATGGGTGATGCCACGTAGCTACATGCATTATTTTATACAGTCTATATTAACATCACATACCACAGTCCGAGCAATAGATGGTAATTGACTCACTCTGGACAATTGATAGTCCCAAGTTTCACAGCCGATTGTACACACTCTTAAGTGAGCAAGCATGGTGATGGAGAGATACCCTTACACCATTCCAGCTTATGACTCAAAGCTATAAATACAAGAGTTGCCCTCTGCCATCCTGACACACAGTGTCCTTAATAGACTAATATGGACTCTTAGGCTACTGGCACAGAACGTCAGACACTTCAAACCAATCTTGTGATGAAGATACAGAATATGAGTGTCAAAGTGGATGAGAGAGAAGTGCAAGAGAGAAAGGCTTGCTAATGATATCATGAGGAAAATAAGTCTGTGTGTCTCACTGTGACTTAATGATCTTATTTTGCGGCAGTCTACACAGCCACACCACCTGGACACGTCCTTACTACAACTGCGGTGGAACATATCAACCTTTTGTCATTTACATTTTCTTATATTTACTATATTTGTTTATTATAAACATAAAAAATGCAAGTTAAAATGCGTTGTTTAAATATTTGTCATCAGAAAGCACCAAAGAGAGTAGCTAAATATGTGCAGTGCCTCTAATGTATGGTACACAAAAATGTATTAGACAGTATTACTTTGTTGTTTTTGTGTTAAATGACAA